TTTGGGTTAAAAGTAGAGAAAAGACTGGCTTTCTGGCCGGGAGAAAACACTTCAAAATTATTCACAGTTCCTGTCCATTGACTGCAGCTGAATAATGAAATTTCCAAGGAAAATCAAAATGACAAGGCTCTCACACAAAATGCCGAGAGACCAAGCTGTAATTCAAACAACCAAGCAGTTGAATTTGGCTCCGGCATTACCAAGGAGCTGTTGGGTTCGATACAATTCAGACAACCATGGCTGATGAAAATTCAACGACGAATTTTGTGAAGTTGCCATATTTAGGTTGAGTTGTTTAGCACCGAGCCGGAGGAAAACGAAACTCTCCAAAATCAATAAAACCCCATCTCATTTCTTCATTTGTAATTGCTCTGGCAGAATATGAATACTTCTCTCAATCTGATACGACATGCCTCCCTGAAGAAAGAATGACCAACTGCATCCATTGCTGGAGCTTAAGATCAACTTGTCATTCCACACTCAGCAGAACTGAAAGGGTGTGAAATAGACTTGCCTGCTTTTGAAATTAACAACAATGAAAGTTCATATTCAAGAAAAAATCTCAGGTTTTCAAATACAGGGACCTACCTAAACACTGTAATTTATTCCAGGTTCAACACAACTGTAAAATGAACTTAGCATATATTTACTGATTGGCATGAAGAATGGATAACACAAAACATATGTGATAAACAAACAAGGAGGAAATGAAGCAAGTGTACAATCTTACTGTTAATTTACATTTTTTATGAACATCTGCTCCAGTTAATCTCCAGGTAGTGAGTGAGTTTGGTTTAACGCTGCTTTTAACAGTGTTCCAGTTATATTGCGGCGTGTCAGCCTAATGTGGGAGGAAAGCCCGAAGTGATGCAGGTCTCAGACTAATCTCAAGGTAGGTGGCACGGGTTGCCCAGTCGTCTAAGGCGCAATGATTTGCTGTGCAGAGTTGTGTCCCTTGGGCATGCCAGAAACGTATGATTGTGGGTTCGAATCCCGGATAGAGTTTCATGTCATAATCAGCACTATTACAGCTTTATTGATGTGAGCTTATATTTAGTGTGAATGGAAACTCTAGTGGTTGATAATGTGAACTTTAGTCTGTGCAATTAAGGTCATGATGATACTCCATATCCAATATATCATGGGGGCACGGGTGGCCCAGTCGTCTAAGGCGCCGTGATTCGCTGTGCAGAGTTGTGTCCCTTGGGCATGCCAGAAACGTATGATTGTGGGTTTGAATCCCGGTTCACCCTGATTATGTTTCTAGGTTTGTCAGCACCATACGAGTGCTTGTGGTATCACCGAAGCTTTCCTCCCACATTAAGCTGATATAACTGGAAAAGTGTTAAAAGCGGCGTTAAACCCAACTCACTCACTCACCCACTCTCCAGGTACAGCCAGGCCCTTCCCCAGATTGCTCAGTCATGTTGCTAATGATGATGATTCTTTCATTATTTATTTTTCCTTTTATAACGTTGACCAATAAAACTAAAACACTATCAACACAAATACTAATCTGTAACACATTCCACAATTTGTAACAAGATGAACATGTGACAATCACTCCTTTCACATCTGTCGATGGTGACAACATCATCAAATCACCTGTTAATTCTCCATAAACACATTAATTAAATATTTCTTGGAAGATAGATGTGACTGAGTGTAACTAACAAGACAATAAGCCTTTGACACATTGAACTCTATGAAGAGCAGTTTTCCGGCTTGTTAAGCCTTGTTAATTGAACCATGCTGACCAATGAGAGCATCATATCAGAGTAAATTTGTGTTGGAATGTGTTTGCGACTGGAAAATGACTTTGAGACAACTGTAACTCCGACACATCGGACACAAATAATGATGAATAAATGATGGTTGTGTACTCCCCAGTGAGTTGAGACTGAAAATCGAGTGTAAACAGATCCATTGACTGGAGTAATAATGTACCTCTTTAGCATGCTTCAGGGTGTGGATTTGGTGCATTATTAATATGCACAATACAATATCTAAAAAGATGAAGAAAAATACTGAAATAATTTAAACAGACAAAGGCTCTGAAGCGAGTGAGTGATTTGGGTTTAACAATGTCTTGAACAGTATTTTAGTTACCATATTTTCTTGAGTATAAAGCGCACTGTGTAGAAGGGGGTGCGCATTATACACGAATTAATGAGTTTTGATGTTTTTTACCCCATGGAAAGAAATTACCACGAGCACGTAACACCGGAAATACCATGTCAACAAATCCATACTGAAGTACGCAAATTAGTCATGTAATTACACTGTCTGGCTATAAAAAGTGTTCTTTGTATATCTGGACTTATTTTATTAATTTTATTCAAAATTCCTTTTAATATTGTTTTAATTAATTTCGGCGAAATCGTGTGTGAAGCGATCGGAAAATCGCACAACTCACCATTATTAACAGCAACCACGGTCAGATTACCGCTATTGATGCCTTGAAACGAACTTTAATTGACAGAGAATGGATACATATATCATAAATGTCAGCCTGATGTGGCAAAATAGCGGGAAGTGATGCAGGTCTCAGACATTGGTGAATCTCATGACAATGGGTATGGAACTGACAACCTAGATAACGCAAACAGGGATCCGCTCCCATGACCATAGCTTTCTGACATGCCAACGTGCCACAGACGACTATGCCATCCTTGACACCACCAAGTATTACAGTGGTAAAAAGGGGAACATCATAAACATCTAACTTAGGCATGGTACTATATTTCCCGTGTAGGCCAAGGTTGTCAAACTGGGTGTCTGGCTGAAGAAGTACATTGTATCATCCACGAGTACATCAAGATGTACACTATTTAAGCCGTTGATGGGACAATCCTGACTTGTGTCTGTCCAGACAAGACATGACTTACATAACAGGATCAAACGAGTGTTTGTATGTAATATTCTCATGAATGTTCATGCTCATACAATACTTACCTGAATCATAGCTGGAATTTGATATTCAATCATGACTGTCATGATCCAGTATCTGGGTGTGTTCACAGTATGACTGACATGAAGTATATGCCTCAGGGAGACAAGCCAGTATATTGATGTTACATGCAGACTTCACAGTTACACAATGAACAATACATAACAAATATTAAAGACATGACAGAAGAGAGAAAATAGTTTGTTTCTAGTTTCTTCACTGGTGTTTTACAATATGCAGGGGCTGTTGTGCTGTGGAATATTTGCACACTCAGGAAGGGTTACTCTCAAGGGGGGTAACTCTCAAGGGCGGGGTAACTCCCAGGGGCAGGTAACTCTCAAGGGGGGTAACTCTCAAGGGGGGTAACTCTCAGGGGTGGGTAACTCTCAAGGGCGGGTAACTCTCAAGGGGGGTAACTCTCAAGGGCGGGTTACTCTCAAGGGTGGGTTACTCTCAAGGGCAGGTAACTCTTAGGGGTGGGTAACTCTCAAGGGCGGGTAACTCTCAGGGCAGGTAATTACAACCCTTGAGCAGCATGCCATCATGCATTTATGATTACTTTGATTTTCTTTCTATTTCTGACTGAAATAGACACAATAGGCAGTGCACTGTAGCCGACCAGCTAGAACAGAAACAAACAATTCTCTTCTTTTCAGCTGAATAAAATCATTAGAATCATTATACATTAAAGAATATGTAGGTTCAGTCTTGCATATACAATATTACATGCAATGTATTAAATATTATTAACAAAATCATTCAATGTTCCCACAGCTAAAATGCAGTTATACAATACCCTCTATCTGCCTACACAGTGAGTTAGCAAGTGAGCTACTTTTTCGAAAATGATTTCAAAATGTATTTCTTAGTCTCATCCATTTCTTCCACATTCCCCATCCAAATGTTTCTAAAGTGAGGGAAATTTTGCTTCATACTAAATGGGTAAATATATAATTCTTAAGAACATCCCCAATGCAATATCCCCTGTTGTGATATTAAATGTTAATCAACTCATTGTAGTTATGGCAACTTAATACCAAAGTGCAATACACTGAGATGTAATAGAAGTCCTTTTGATCTGATAGAACAACAAATATCCTTTGACATCAAAAACCATCTCGCTGGAAAAGCAAATCAAGATATGTTAACTTCAAACTGTCAATCAAATTTGCATGAACAGGAAACCTTTGTTGATTGAAAAGTTTCTGAACAGAATTGAGTCATGAAATAAGAGTAATGGTGTGAAAGTATGTGGTGTAAGGTCCACTTCAATCCAATTCCAGATAGCAAGTTACAATCATGGCACTGACAACAAGATACTCTATAGCCCAGCTTTGTCAACAAAACACATACTGATGGCTGCTGTATCACCAACAGGATCATGCAAAAATTACACACAAAAATAAGTCCTGAAGTCTGAAGTAAACATGGCTGTGTAAGTAAAGAGTATTTTTTTACACCAATAGGTGGGTAGGCTGGGAATAGGGATACACTGGAGCTCGAAGGCTCCAAAAAAAGTCATATTCTTAACCATCTCTGAAATTTTCAAATTTGGAACCTTATGCTTTCATGTTCTATTTCAAATGAAATTTACAGGTATCAAATCTCCATTTGAAACCTCTAAATTGAAAAAAAGGAGGTTAATCTAATATTAGAGCACTGGCAAGATAACCTAGACTTATGTCACAGGAAGATTGTACAGACACTATCCTAGCAGAATGAAGAACTGTCTATAGCTTCACAGTCAAATCCAAGTTTCCATCTCTCAGTACAACACTCTCCTTGTATATACATATAGTCACAATGCATAGACAAATTCAAAGCAAGGTCTTATTCTTGAAGCAGTCTAAGCTTGGTTTCCTTCGCTCAAATTCATGTCACATATACAAAGGAGAATATTCCTTCAGGAGATTTTATATCAGGCATATTCAGAATATGTATTCATCATATTCTTAATACTTTAGAACACACTGCTTCAAGAAGAGGATCCATCTCAAATCTAAATCAACTATGCAACAATAACCATGTACATCCAAAAATGGGTACTCACCGGGGTGGGTGGGCCGTGGCTGGTATGTTACCCCTACAGAAACAGATAAATCTACTGGAATAATTTTTTAAGAAAACTCAGTGGATTTCAAAGTCACAAAAACACAATCAAAGTATTGCATAAAATCAAAGCCACTGTTGACTGGCCGAATTTGAAGAAAGTGATGATCGGGGCTCTCTATATTTTATGAGTGCTTCTTTTGCTTAGTGAACATTATGTCCAGTGTTTTTCAGCTATGTGAATATTGGTTGAAGTGTTGCTGTAGTTGTTGATGTTTAACGCCACAGTCAGCAATATTCCAGCTATATGAGAGCTGTCTGTAAACAATGGCATCTGGACCAGAAAATCCTGTGATTGACATCATCAGCATCGATCTACACAGTTCAGATACGATTACATGCATCAAACCAAGTCAGTGAGCCTGACCACCCGATCCCGTAAGTCAACTCTTACGACAAGCATAGTGGCCTTTTAAGGCAAGCATGGGTTGCTGAAGACCTATTCTACCCCAGATCTTCACGGGTCTGTGTGATCATAGTGTACTGATATATAATTATATGGCATGAGATACAACATGACTTATATGATAAGCTAAACAACACAGAGTGTATGATAAGCAAACATATGGGTACTCGAATACCACAGATAGGAGTGTTAAAGGGAAGATAGATATATTGACACTATAGATGTGATACAGATGTGGGTATGACATGGTACAGACACCGCACTATCATGAGGTAGTCATGGGCATTATGATGAACACATTATGACATATAGTAACAAACTATAAGGAGGTACACAAGAAGGTAAGGTAAGGAGTAACACAGTTAGGTACAGTAAGGAGGAACACAGTTAGGTACTATAAGGAAGAACACAGTTAGGTGGTATAAGGAGGAACACAGTTAGGTACAGTAAGGAGGAACACAGTTAGGTACAGTAAGGAGGAACACAGTTAGGAACTATATGGGAGGAACACAGTTAGGTACTATAAGGAGGAACACAGTTAGGTACTATAAGGAAGAACACAGTTAGGTACTATAAGGAAGAACACAGTTAGGTACAGTAAGGAGGAACACAGTTAGGTACTATAAGGAAGAACACAGTTAGGTACTATAAGGAGGAACACAGTTAGGTAGTATAAGGAGGAACACAGTTAGGTAGTAAAAGGAGGAACACAAGAAGGTAAGGTAAGGAGTAACACAGTTAGGTACAGTAAGGAGGAACACAGTTAGGTACTATAAGGAGGAACACAGTTAGGTAGTATAAGGAGGAACACAGGAAGGTAGTATAAGGAAGAACACAGTTTGGTAGAATAAGGAAGAACACAGTTAGGTACTATATGGAAGTACACAGTTAGGTACAGTAAGGAGGAACACAGTTAGGTAGTAAAAGGAGGAACACAAGAAGGTAAGGTAAGGAGTAACACAGTTAGGTACAGTAAGGAGGAACACAGTTAGGTACTATAAGGAAGAACACAGTTAGGTGGTATAAGGAGGAACACAGTTAGGTACAGTAAGGAGGAACACAGTTAGGTACAGTAAGGAGGAACACAGTTAGGAACTATATGGGAGGAACACAGTTAGGTACTATAAGGAGGAACACAGTTAGGTACTATAAGGAAGAACACAGTTAGGTACTATAAGGAAGAACACAGTTAGGTACAGTAAGGAGGAACACAGTTAGGTACTATAAGGAAGAACACAGTTAGGTACTATAAGGAGGAACACAGTTAGGTAGTATAAGGAGGAACACAGTTAGGTAGTAAAAGGAGGAACACAAGAAGGTAAGGTAAGGAGTAACACAGTTAGGTACAGTAAGGAGGAACACAGTTAGGTACTATAAGGAGGAACACAGTTAGGTAGTATAAGGAGGAACACAGGAAGGTAGTATAAGGAAGAACACAGTTTGGTAGAATAAGGAAGAACACAGTTAGGTACTATATGGAAGTACACAGTTAGGTACAGTAAGGAGGAACACAGTTAGGTACAGTAAGGAGCAACACAGTTAGGTACTGCAAGGAAGAACACAGTTAGGTACTACAAGGAAGAACACAGTTAGGTACTATAAGAAGGAACACAGTTAGGTACTATAAGGAGGAACACAGTTAGGTACTACAAGGAAGAATACAGTTAGGTACTATAAGAAGGAACACAGTTAGGTACAACAAGGAAGAATACAGTTAGGTACTATAAGAAGGAACACAGTTAGGTACTATGAGGAGGAACACAGTTAGGTACTACAAGGAAGAATACAGTTAGGTACTATAAGAAGGAACACAGTTAGGTACTATAAGAAGGAACACAGTTAGGTACTATAAGGAGTAACACAGGAAGGCACTATAAGGAAGAACACAGTTAGGTATTATAAGAAGGAACACAGGAAGGTACTGTAAGGAGGAACACAGTAAGGTACTATAAGGAAGAACACAGGTACTATAAGGCAGAACACAGTTAGGTACTATAAGGAGGAACACAGTTAGGTACTAATAGTAGGAACACAGGTACTGATAGGAGCAACACAGGTACTATAAGGAGGAACACAGGTACTATAAGGAAGAAAACAGGTACTAATAGGAGGAACAGTTAGGTACTATAAGGAAGAACACACTTAGGTACTCTAAGAAAGAACACAGTTAGGTACTGATAGGAGGAACACAGGTACTGATAGGAGGAACACAGGTAGTATAAGGAGGAACACAGGTACTATAAGGAGGAACACAGTTAGGTACTAATAGGAGGAACACAGTTAGGTACTATAAGGAAGAACACACTTAGGTACTGTAAGAAAGAACACAGTTAGGTACTGATAGGAGGAACACAGGTACTGATAGGAGGAACACAGGTACTGATAGGAGGAACAGAGGTACTGATAGGAGGAACACAGTTAGGTACTATAAGGAGGAACATAGAGGGCTTCTACAATGAGTTACACTGAGGGGTACTTTCATGGAGTACACAAGGTTAGTGTGTACTAGTATATTATAGTAGCTGAGCTATAGTAATGAGCTCCTACCGTTAATAGGCTCTGCTTTGGGTTGAGTTGTCACCGATCTGTGGATGGAGGATCCAACGAAGGTGTAGCTAGCAGCAAAGCCCTGAGCTTCATTTTTGTCATCAGAATAAAATTCAATGAATAAATTACGGCCAGTTGAAGTAAGTTCCACTTGATTCTGGATGTCACAGTAGTGACCGATAACATCTGCACTTCTGTCTCGGCCATTGTAAACAACAATAGCATCATGACTGTAACGACAACTGCAAAATAAAGGCAACACTTTAGTCACCAACTTACAAAATAAACAATACGCTACTTCAAATTCATTCTTATGGGGCCTGACACTTACTCATGTGAGATCAGCTGTATATTAAAATTATCTTTGGGGGAACAAAAGTCCAGTGATTATCCAGTCATCAGTTGTAAAAATGGGAAATATTAGTATAACAAATGAATCTGGGAAATATACTGAACTTAAAAAGTTAGGGATCATGAATACTTTTGGGGATACTGACTGAGCACACATTTTCATAAGAATATACCCCAAAATATTCATGATCCCTTACTTTTTTTTGTTCAGTATATATCGCAATGTTTGCAGACACTCCTGGAAATATTCTTCAACAACACAGTGAAAGGAAAATTTGGCATTTTTTCAGAAAGTGATACATTTTATGCATGACATTGTGTATGTGAATTTATAAAAAACTGCACAACTTTTTAGACGCCAGCTCAGCACGATTCTAGGTGAACTAATACACACAATGCATATTTTGTAGGATATTGTGAATTGTTTCGATTTGCAGCTTTTTCAAATATGTTTACAAATACAAAGGTGAAGGTTGTTGGGGGATATAAGAAAAGCACCACGCGTGTGGGATACACCTCATCGCACAGCCACTATACCTTTTCTCTCCTTTGCTATTGTGCAAAAATCAAAAAATGTGAAAGATAAAAATTAGAAATTTGCATATTCCATAAACATCTGAAATCGCATCTTAAGCAGAAACTATACAAGTATTATAGATCAGTGTCAACTAACAGTAAAGGTACTGATGTATATTGACGAAAATGGTAAAAATGGTAAAAATGGAATACTTGAGATCAGTGTGCGAAATAGCCACCTGCAAATAGCAAATTTTCGGTTGAGCTAAAGATTCTGACTGGATACTGGAATTTTAAAACATGTTCCTATGCACGCACACCTCTTAGCTGATCAACAAAAAAAAATTATCATGCCATTTTAGATCAATACGACCCTCAAATTTATTTTTTTTTAAATGACTATCCGAATCGAGGTTGCGAGATCAGAGTTACCCCCCTTCATCTTGTTTGAGTGACTGTAACACTGTGTATAACAAACATGATTTGACTGGTTGTAATACATAGTTTAACTAATCACAACCTGTGTTATTTTACAAACTTTGGCTCAAATATTGCAGACACGCTGACTGTTTTCTCTTTTACTTTAACAATTTGACTCTGACCATGAATCTGTGACGCCCAAAATGCCCCAACAGCGCAACATGCATTCCTGTTTAAGGGGGGCAAAGCTGGTCCATAGCTTAAGCGCAACATGAGTGATGAAGAGAAATGGGTGTGAATACTGAAGTATGAAAAATTAGGTTGGGAACAGAAATTTCTTATATAAATAAATCTTTGAGGCTATAGCTGGCCCATCATGCCAGCAATAATCTGAGACTATTTCACACACTGTTTGAAGGTTTGACGTTTCAAACACCCAACTGAGATGAAAAATATATTATATTTAGCTCAAACTCTGTACGATTACTGAAGTGACTACCGTATATCGCTGTGTATAAGGCGACCCCACGTATAAGACGACCCCCCTGTACACGCCTTTAAAATCAACCCAAAATCCTATACTCCGTGTATAAGGCGACCTGGAATGAAACAGATCACAAGTCTGACTGATATACCGGTAGAAGATTTAACATGCTCTTGCCGACTGTAGCGTATTTCGCACACAGACATCACAAATTAGTTAGTTAGTTACTTTGGAGATTTAATGTGCGCTTTCCGACTGATGCATATTTCGCACACATCACAAGTGTGCACACAAACCTTATATATACAATAAAAATATGTTTATCTTGCGTTGTTTTTTTTTCTACAATGATAGGTCGCATGTGTAACTCCGGCACACGTCGCCATTTTGTGTTTACACGGTAAGACACCAAATTGGTGCCCATAAAATAAAATTCATTTATGAAGTAATAACATATAAGAGACAATGATGAGTAATTTAATCGCCAATTAACTATGTTGTAACTAACTAGGCTTATGTTTGCTTCACATTCAGCGTGTTTATTCCACAATCACTTGTACACACCGTCTCCAACATGCTGGGCTGGCTATCGGACGCCGGTTGACATCGCCAGTGGAAAAAAATGTGAGATCTTCGACTCCGTGTATAAGACGGACGACCCCCCTTCTTAGCCCCCTCATTTTAGGTACGAAAAACTCGCCTTATACACAGCGATATACGGTAATTATCCAAGAAATTTTTTCTATTTCTTACAATGATACATGCCATACAGAAAAACATCTTCACTGCCAGAAGCTCTTTTCTCTTCGGTTAAATGTTCATACATATGATACAAGGATTATGTTCTGTTTCAGCTACATTTTTTAGAATGCCCCAACAGCGCAACATGCATTCCTGTTTAAGGGGGGCAAAGCTGGTCCATAGCTTAAGCGCAACATGAGTGATGAAGAGAAATGGGTGTGAATACTGAAGTATGAAAAATTAGGTTGGGAACAGAAATTTCTTATATAAATAAATCTTTGAGGCTATAGCTGGCCCATCATGCCAGCAATAATCTGAGACTATTTCACACACTGTTTGAAGGTTTGACGTTTCAAACACCCAACTGAGATGAAAAATATATTATATTTAGCTCAAACTCTGTACGATTACTGAAGTGACTACCGTATATCGCTGTGTATAAGGCGACCCCACGTATAAGACGACCCCCCTGTACACGCCTTTAAAATCAACCCAAAATCCTATACTCCGTGTATAAGGCGACCTGGAATGAAACAGATCACAAGTCTGACTGATATACCGGTAGAAGATTTAACATGCTCTTGCCGACTGTAGCGTATTTCGCACACAGACATCACAAATTAGTTAGTTAGTTACTTTGGAGATTTAATGTGCGCTTTCCGACTGATGCATATTTCGCACACATCACAAGTGTGCACACAAACCTTATATATACAATAAAAATATGTTTATCTTGCGTTGTTTTTTTTTCTACAATGATAGGTCGCATGTGTAACTCCGGCACACGTCGCCATTTTGTGTTTACACGGTAAGACACCAAATTGGTGCCCATAAAATAAAATTCATTTATGAAGTAATAACATATAAGAGACAATGATGAGTAATTTAATCGCCAATTAACTATGTTGTAACTAACTAGGCTTATGTTTGCTTCACATTCAGCGTGTTTATTCCACAATCACTTGTACACACCGTCTCCAACATGCTGGGCTGGCTATCGGACGCCGGTTGACATCGCCAGTGGAAAAAAATGTGAGATCTTCGACTCCGTGTATAAGACGGACGACCCCCCTTCTTAGCCCCCTCATTTTAGGTACGAAAAACTCGCCTTATACACAGCGATATACGGTAATTATCCAAGAAATTTTTTCTATTTCTTACAATGATACATGCCATACAGAAAAACATCTTCACTGCCAGAAGCTCTTTTCTCTTCGGTTAAATGTTCATACATATGATACAAGGATTATGTTCTGTTTCAGCTACATTTTTTAGAAACTTTGTTCCACCGATAAGCATGTTTTGGAAAAAACAAATATGTCTGAAATGATATTAATAGATACTCAACCCTGTTACAGATGTATGCCTCATCCAAAATAAAACCCCACATGTTAAAAAAATATGTTAGGATGATGATGAAACTGATAATTAATGCTAATAAGGATGATAATAAAGATGATAATTACCTTCCACCTGTGTGATACAGCTGTATGTTTTGAAAAAATATTTTCACTTTGTCTCCTTTCTTTGCCTGGAAATGGTACTGACATTTGGACATAGCCTGGTAGTTTTGAGGGTAAAACGGAGAGAAGAGTCGACCAGATTTGGTGTTATTACTATCAAAATAATATGTACACTGGGTCCCATGCATTTTAGTTCCAGATATCACAAATTGTTCTGAAAAAGATGGAAAAAAGGAAACATAATAAACATGAATGTATTCCATGATGTTTCTGAAAGAAAATATTTTGTTTCATCATTTTACCTAAAACATGGTACATTTATTAAGGCAATTACGATTCATCTCCATGAAATTCTTTTTCAAATTATATACTGCTTAATTCTTATCAATGTTCATGTCAATCGGGATGACTTCATGAATTTTGAATTCATCACTACTTATTTTAATACCTGAATTAATTATAATAAAACTACGAGTTATTAGCCTAATCAAACAAAACATATAAATACCAACAATGAAAGTGGAAACAAACTTCTATCTGCTAACCATTTGCCAAATTGAACGCCATAAAGGTGATTACTTAATAAATCTAAGAAACATAAAATTATAAGTCTTTTGACATACTGCTATTGTTTTAAATCTATATCAGTTTGATGACATCAAAATAAAAGACATATACCAGTTATTTTCAAGAAAGGTCAATTTCTTAAATGCCTCATTAAAAACATTGGTACTATATAGAACTTCAAGATCTACAGATGAAATAAGAATGAATCAAGAGAAATGTACAAAACACAAAGTCCTAGTGCACATATGATTGAGATACATGTAAATTTAGACTTAAGCATGCAAAATTACATCCTCACTACCCCCTTCCTGTCTCCATCCCTTATCATGACATTATCTTCTATAATACGTATAACACTTTTATCACATTTCTCATAATATACACAAAGATAATCAATCAATATGATTCAAATGATCTGCATAAGTGTGCATAAATAACAACAAATGTACTCAATATAAAAGCTGGTGCACAAACATAAGCTATTGCTAAATATATCAATATCATTGTTCAGAATGTTTAACTTCAGAATAGTTACATTCCCCACTTAAAGGATGTACATTAGTAATATTTGAATGTTTGGGTTTTATGCAACTGTGGCCAATATTCCAGGTACATTGTGCTGTTTCTATAGTGAAAGAGCAAATTAGTTCAAGTGTTTGCTTGTCACCCTAGAGATTTGAGTTTCATACCCGACAGGGTACAATATGTGATGCCCAATGTTAGAAATTGGCACTAGTCCCATAGTCCTTGCCAAACTGCTCAATAGTTAAGGTATCACAAGGACTGGTATTTTTTGCCATTTTTAAGGGTTTTGCTATATGTTATCTTCATAAGGGCTGGTAGACTAACAGTTAGTTTCTATCACTGGCTGCCTATTCTTGACGTCCCCTGCCATGACAGTCCAAAAACATTTTAGGCGCAGCTTGGAACATACATGGAGTTCGACCAGGAGTTGGAAAACAGTGGTCAACGGTATGAGCATCGACTTCCCCACTGATCCTCATTGATGTTACAACAATCTCATTAAAATCAGATCTTTACTCTGATATGATGCCTCTGTCCATGACAATCTGACAACCACACAAAGAAAGCCAATCAATATCAAGGTTTCTTGTGTATGCTTCATCTTCCTGAGGCAAGGGCGTTAACAGACTACAAAAGTACAGTTTCCATCCTTGGCGAACTAGGCTGGAATTTCCACTAGTAGATATTATGAGTTATGTCCCTTTTATGTCCCTCCCATTGATCAATTAGATTCCATTTCTGATATCACTTACATTTGCTTCAAACAAAATGGCGGCACCCAGTTTAGACGATCTGAACGATAATCAAGAATTATATTGAAATATAACTGGTCTTACCCTGTGAAGTGCATCAAATCACTTGAGCACCTTGACTAAAAACATGAAAATATTTGCAAAATATCCATCAACGTCCAGTTGGCGGTACACATGATTTGCAAATCCTGCAGTTGACCGAAATCTGCATGTTGAAATCTGTGTTGTTTATGAACCGGATGTCTACTTTGTTACGTGATTTTGATTGGAACATGCATAGACTCGTTAGTACAGCCAAAATGAAACTCCGGAATTCCAGCCTAGCTAGTTTGGCAAGGGTGGAAGCTGGGCCTTTATAGTCAGTTAACGCCCTTGCCTCAGGAAGATGGTGTATGCTTATGTCAGATGCTTCCCCAAAATGAATTAAAGTTGTTACGATACATTCCCGGTAACCCACTTTCATCTATAACATTAGTAGTGCACAATAGGCTACAATGAGTAAGGCAGAGACATTTCTGGCATTGAGTGTTTTGTTAAGAGTGACAACATTTAATACAGGAATTGATACCAGGCACATCAATAGATTAAAAATAGAATATATAAGGTATTGTTTAAAGGAAATACTAAAACAAATCTTGGCAGAGCAGTATGCCAGGAGGAATTTTAGTTTTGCTGGTAGGAAGAAAAAAAAAACGACATCCATTTTTGTACAGGTTGCTCTATGCATAGGGTTTGGTATAATATATGGAATATAAAAAATCACATCTAGTTTGCAAAAGTTTGATACTGCAGACCAACACCTGAGTAATTCTGCCTATGTAGCTTGCATTAAGGATATATAGAGCCCCTATGGTGATCACTGGATCATCATCCTTTGACATGAAGAAATCATTCTCATTGTCAGCATCAAGGATGCGAGAGTTGCCCCCCTTGGTATTCCGAGATATTTGTGGTCTGGCTCAATTTATTTTTTAACCATTTTTGGAAATTGTGAAAACCTCATGACACTCATTCACCAATGTCACACTCTCATTGCTTTCTTCCCACAACATGCTAACCTATATTTCCCAGTTCATGTTAATGTATTAGTATATATATAACTTATAACTAATGGTATGGCTTTGTAGACATAGCATATTGACTTATGACAAAATTAATTACTCGGGATAGGTCTAAATAACAATAACACCAGGACTCCCACTGCCGCTCCCTCCAACCCTATAACACCAGCCACTGCCTCTCCCTCCACCACCTATAACACCAACCACTGCCTCTTCCTCCACCACCTATAACACCAGGACTCCCTGATGACTGCCGCTCCCTCCACCACCTATAACACCAGCCACTGCCTCTTCCTCCACCACCTATAACACCAGGACTCCCTGGTGACTGCCTCTCCCTCCACTCCCTATAACACCGGCCTCTGCCTATCCCTCCACTCCCTATAACACCAGCCACTGCCTCACCCTCCACTCCCTATAACACCAGCCACTGCCTCACCCTCCACTCCCTATAACACCAGCCACTGCCTCACCCTCCACTCCCTATAACACCAGCCACTGCCTCACCCTCCACTCCCTATAACACCAGCCACTGCTTCTCCTTCCACTCCCTTTAACACCAGCCACTGCCTCTCCCTCCACCACCTATAACACCAGCCACTGCCTTTCCCTCCACCCCCTATAACACCAGCCACTGCCTCTCCCTGCACTCCCTATAACAACAGCTGCTTCCGCTCCCTCCACCCCCTATAACACTTGCCACTGCCTCTCCCTTCACTCCCTATAACACCAGTCACTGCCTCTCCCTCCACCACCTATAACACCGGCCTCTGCCTATCCCTCCACTCCCTATAACACCAGCCACTGCCTCTTCCTCCACCACCTATAACACCAGGACTCCCTGGTGACTGCCTCTCCCTCCACTCCCTATAATACCAGCCACTGCCTCTCCCTCCACCCCCTATAACACCAGCCACTGCCTCTCCCTCCAACCCTATAACACCAGCCACTGCCTCTCCCTCCAACCCTATAAGACCAGGACTCCCTGGTGACTGCCTCTCCCTCCACTCCCTATAATACCAGCCACTGCCTCTCCCTCCACCCCCTATAACACCAGCCACTGCCTCTCCCTCCAACCCTATAACACCAGCCACTGCCTCTCCCTCCACCCCCTATAACACCAGCCACTGCCTCTCCCTCCAACCCTATAACACCAGCCACTGCCTCTCCCTCCAACCCTATAACACCAGCCACTGCCTCTCCCTCCACCCCCTGCCGTTCCCTCCACTCAGGTATTGGTCAGCATGTCCTGGTCAAAGGACCAGCATATCACATTATAAGCTTCACACAGATGTTAGTATTCGCACACTGCTTGTTTACCATGTTTAGGTGAGTTTATTAACATTGACTGGCGATTTTCTAATTCCTTTCGACTCAAGTTTTCTGAAAGTTAGATGCAGGTTATTTGTTAAAAAGATAAATAGCCAACTAAAATAAACTTCAAATTGTACTTCTAATACACATGAAATACCATTCACATGTTGATCAACAGACAGGCATGAATCAAGAGACATATTCCTAAAGGGTTCAAGCACTAGAAGCATAGGTTTGACAGCAGTGTTTGAATTTGAAAATAACAAGTGCCACAAGTCTTATAAAAGTATTGAATGTCAAAACTATGAAAAACTGAAAGTAAAGAGTTATTTTACTCAGGCTTCTATCAATCTACAAAGCAAAACTTCAGTGTCCAACTCAACAAAACAAGAGTTATCTCCCTTTGTCCCTACAAAGTTCTCTCAAGCCTTGGTAGCAATCATGAGTGTTTTTTAGCCATACATTTTTTCATATTGGTTTGAATCAAAACATGTAATGTTAACATTAAGATATCAACTATGGAAATAAAACAAACAAGGTCGTAAAGGTCATCAACTAAAGAATGATACAGTAGAGAAGGAAGAAGTGGTCAGATAAATAAATCTTCATCTTCCCTTACCTGTCAAGGTGGATTGAGAAGTTGTGTACAAATGTGTGTCTATTAAATTAATATTTCTATTTTTAATTTTGCTACAGAAATATGATTTTTCATACATGTAATAATTGAAAGAAAACAGGATATAAAAATGATTACTAAGTTCAAACAAGTTTCATTTCTTTTATAGATTGATTTGACACTTTTATGTTTGTCAGTTGAATGTAAATGCTGCATATCAAGTATCTATTCATTTGTCATTTGATGTAACACTATATGAAATACTAAATAAACTTGATTAATAACACAAAAATATTACTGATTACAAAATCTATATTTATCAAGCATTTCTAATCCTGCCATATCCAACCTAGCCCCAAGTCATGATCACTGGTGTACATAACATGTTCCAAGTAAAGGGGGGCACGGGTGGCCCAGTCGTCTAAGGCGCCGCGATTTGCTGTGCAGAGTTGCGTCCCTTGGGCATGCCAGAAACCTATGATTGTGGGTTCGAATCCCGGTTCGCCCCAATTATGTTTCCAGGTTTGTCAGCACCATACCCATGCTCGTGGGTTTCACCGAAGTGGTAAACGTCTGAGACCTGCATCACTTCGGGCTTCCCTCCCGCATTAAGCTGACACGCCGCGATATGACTGGAATATTGTTAAAAGCGGCGTTAAATCCAACTCACTCACTCCAAGTAAAGAAGGTACTTTTTAATATTCAGGTTTATGAAAAAGTCACATATGACCTTTCGTATCAATATCATCAAATGTTAACATTTAACAACAAAATACAACTATGAAAACTCAAAATATGAATTACATAAGAAAAGCTTAATGATTTCTTCAAAGACTTGAATATGGATCATATTTATCATTCGTCCTTTTTGTGTTGAACACTTTTCTGTTTCTGTCCTCAAGCCTAAGTTTGGTGAATTCAGTTCATTACCTTGTGGATCAAGAGAATTATGTTATTTTAGCTTCTAAGATATAAACATATGTAAAATGAAGTTCTCCAAATATTGTTTTTAAATTATAGATTTACCAGTACACAAGACAAAAATAAGCACCACCCATTCTCCATAACCATTACTGTCATCACACCACGCAATTTCTTAACATGTGTGTTCTAGAGGACTGGTTGTTCCATTGTCATGCAATGTCATGCAAGGATGTCTTACAACAGGCCCAAAATATATATTTTTAAAAAATAGAAAGTATTATCTTAACTTATTTGCTTTACAAAAGGATATACTCATTAATTATTTTCTCTGTCCTAACTTTGATAGAGATGTTATATTAATTTAAAACTGTCTGGTACATCATGCCCTTAAATATCCTTCAAAACATCAAAATTAATTTTGTACTAATATAAATACCAGAGAGGTAATGATAAATATGTCATCTAGCCCCCATATGGTAAAATTTATTTACATAATGCATATACTACCGTATTTGACATAATAAGCACCCAGGGCACTCTCAAAATTAGAAACAGGGGGCTCTTATTAGAATATTATTTGTTGGGAAAAACAACAGAGTTGAAAGATCCTAAATTTCATGGTTTATGCTGAAAGCCTGAAATGTTTATATACGACTGACATATTTTTCCAGAATTTAATTTCCTATAATTAAGAATGCATATAACACACACATAATACACAAATAAATAAGTCTTGTGTACATTGATCAATCGGAAGGGGTGCTAATTGGGATTGTTCACTTGCCATTATATTAGCAAATATCGTCGTAGTCGCTTATTAGAGTTGGGCGTTTATTACATCGAATTGGGTATATGACACTTGTACATTTTCATTGGTTAGTACTCACTCATCTCAAGATTCGATTTGACATTTTCTTAGAAAATCCGCTATATATGGGTTGTTGCCAGTCTCCGCAACCAGCATAATATGTTTCACATCTGCTTTAACGTCAGTCAGATGTCAACTTAAGAGAAACTTTTAATACATAACGGTCTTGTGAAAGATTTCGCAGCTGGGACTGAATATTTCTAAACTACTACATTAAGCCTGGATGCATGCTTAAAACTTCCAGCTGTACTCCAAGACTCCATCAAGACAATTGGAGCCACTAGGCTACTGGAACACAAAGGTAACATACAGATCCTAAAAACAGGCGCTAATGTCTCCCACTTAAGACGATAATGAAACTGAATCGCATAACATTGATGCTCTAAGCTACATCATTTCATTAAATCACATATCAACTTTGAATTATGAGTAAAAAGGATTCAATTTTCTGAAACCATTCTTACCTTTATCTAAAAATTGGTATCGCCCTTGAAACCCTGTAAAGTTTCCGGGCAAGCCATCAGCATGTAGCTCCAGGATGAGGGCTCGATCTGAAGAATAGTATTTCTTCTGGGTGCTGTTCAGGACACCACAAAGTTCTGCCGAATGTCGGTCATGTTCGTTAATTCCTGGGCCATCCAAGTAGAGAAATAATCGCAAAAAGTCCGTACATATACTGAAATAGATAGAAAACAAATTCAATATGTGTGAAACTTTTTGGTTACAATAAGTGAAACATTACGATTTAACATCTGCACAGCTCCATGGCATCATTGAAATGAGGGTATGTATTAAAAGTATAAAAAACGGTTGAATGAGTGATTGAGTTGGGATAAGCACAGCTTGGTGACACCACCAAGCACGGGTATGGTGCTGACAAACCTAGAAACATAATGAGGTGAATCTGGGATTCAAACCCATGATCATAGGCTTCTGGCACGTCTAAGGGATGCAACTCTTCACTGTAAGCTGCTGTGCCTAAGATGACTGGGCCACCTGTGACACCCTTAAAACTATTTTGTCAACTTGAATGAGTGAATGGGTTTGTTTTAAGGCTCATAAACCTACTGCCACTATGGCCTATTGTATTGTAGCTATCTTCCTATCTCGTAATATACTCTTGGGAGGTTTTACTTTGTGCTAGTAAGACCTGATCGCGGGTATGAGGTTTTACTTTTTCCCAGTAAGACCTGATCGTGGGTATGAGGTTTTACTTTTTCCCAGTAAGACCTGACTGTTTTCCCACTGAACAACCGAGGCAGGTGATGAAAAGTTGTTAAATTTTACTCGTCATGACTTCAGCTTGTGCTGCATCCTGCATTATGGAAGTATAAAATTATAAACATCAACGCCAGAGACCAACTAGTCACTATAAACAGATTCCATGGGCATAAAAGGCAAAAGAGCATTGAAAATTATATGAATGTATGAGAGATGACACCAGGTGTTCAGGAAAAGAGTAAGCATGCCCTGCCCTACCAGTAGCACAATGTCAAACAATATCTTTTAAAATCTACATACTTTGATAGCCCACAATCAATTGAACATATTGAAAACAATCTTTTACCAGAACATGTAACCACTCTGAAGGCCATACTGTCAGCAAAGGCAAGTCTGATATGTTGAGATGTGGATTTGAACAAATACCAAATAAATTCTCTTCCTTAAATTGAGTTTCAAATTTATTCACCCGATTATTTCTAAATCCAATCTGGATAAGTATAGTCACGGAAAAGATGACACATGCATCTGTGCTATAAGCCACCATATGTGGCGATATCTGTGGCCCAATGAAAAAAAATCATTACACGAAAGAAGACCAAGGTTAAATAAATTCCCCTTAAAATCCACCTTCCGTCCAAGTCAGGAAAAGGCAATTTGAAAGGATCAGAGCTAACACATGCCAGTGCCATTCGGTGGAGAAGAAACACAATCTGTACAGCTCATTTGAAAGATTCTGACGACAGCATGGAAGCGAGTGTCAAATCCAGCCTTTTCCAATCAAATTGAGCACGCACTTTTAAAAGTGAGTCGAGAAAAGCCAGATCTGAAGTTATCATGCTTGTGCATATTTTGATCTTTTTCTCAAGAGCTTCAAAGAATTGTTGATAATGACGAAATGCGCCAAGGCTGGACAAGATAAATAACAATTCCTAATCCGAATGTTCCTGGGAAGCAAGAGGTTACATTAGTAGCTCGGACAAAGCATGGAAACAAATGTATTTGCCATCCCCAAGGAAATGATTAATAAAATATTTGCATCTGGGTTCTAGTCGTAATTGACATCTGACATTGTATTTTTACGATGCTTTGTCACATAAAGGTCCTCAAATTGTGAGCAAATAGAATTCATGTAATATTTGGAAGAAATAATTATACATGAAATTTGAAATGAATAAGGCGATGAACATTGGAGTAACACCTTCTGATAAAATAAAAAGAGAACTCTTTTGAAGACTCTTTTCAGTGTTAAAGAGTATAATTTGGTTTATTTCCTGCAGTTTCATATATGATAGAAAGTAGATAAAATGTACATGTCATCTTACTTTGAGAGATACTGACACATGAAATATTGTTTTCAACAACCTGTCAATCATCTTGACAGCTGGGAGAAAATTGATTACTTTATGACCAGCATGTCAAATGATTTTGCATTCAAAATAAATGTCCAATCATGAAGAAATTCATTCTAAAATTCCCAAAGGTATTTTCATCATATGGATGTGATTATAAGCCTGATGCAATGGTTGCGAAATTGACGTGAAATCGACAGTACACACAAGAGGACATGGTCAGGTTGAAAAAGTCAATCACCATGCAATCGATCCTAACTGTTTCACAAACTGACCTTTAAACTGTTGCAAGTTTTCGTAGGGCAACACAATTCTGTGCTACTCATTTAATTTCTCAAGCTTTGGAACGGTAAGTGTACAATTATGCATGGTGATCAAAATTTCGTGAATCGTGCGAGGAAAGTCAAGCTGTGGCTTAAGAGGGAACATGATAGGGAGAGTAGATCACCTGCTACATGTATCTTCGGGGCGGTCGGGTAGCCTAGTGGTTAGAGCGTTCGCTCGTCACGCCAAAGACCCGGATTCTATTCCCGACATGGGTACAATGTGTGAAGCCCATTTCCGGTGTCCCCCGCGTGATATTGCTGGAATATTGCTAAAAGCGGCGTAAAACCATACTCACTCACTCACTCACTCACATGTATCTTCATACTCAGAAAACCACATGTTTCACATTTCCTGTGCATCAAATACTGTATAAAACCTGAAAATTTAAAAACATGATAATGGTATAGACTGACTTTAATATGTTTTTGCATTTTAAACGTAAAAAAAATGTGCACACTTTGCGTATATCTGATGTGCGGATTTACACACTTTGTTTAACACTTCTACCTCCATAAGCGTAAAAAAATATTGATGTCAGTTCTTACATAACCTGTACAATTGTGTTAATGAGGTAGCACAGCATTTGTATAGAATGTGTCGACACAATAGTGCACAACCTATTTCACTGAACGTTATAATTTTTTAAGTTAATCTTCTGAAGTGCAACCTTAGTAATGTATTTGTCATTTAATCCTGTAGGGAATAACCTGACATGACCAACTAACTCCATTATATGCACATGTGTTTGTAGGTGAGTGAAAAAGTTTTTTTCAATACATTGAAGTGACTTAAATGTTGAAATTATGCTGTTTGATCTGAGGATCACTGACTGTTTACAGAATATTGAACAAATACCCATCAATCCATATGGTCAAATGTTTCTCCAGAGACAGTATTGCCTCTCTGAAGTGCCACAACAATTCCTAAACACACACCTCCCACTGAGCTGAGTTCTTGTAACAGTCATGCATAACTTTCTCCTATCTGGTCCCTAGTTTCTGCATCCAACCATCAAGGCCCCTGGCTGTTATTTATCACATATATATAAGACAAACCCGTGAGATCATTTCTGCCAACTAAATCCGAAGACTTAGACTGGTGCCAACCATCTTGTATTTCTATACCAGTCCAAACCATGTCTATTATTGTCTTGTACTTTAGAAGTTCCATCATGGTCAATTAAAGTCTTGGCATTTGCAGAGGTGTCGTCACAGACAAATGCCAGTTCTATACGTCAGTGAACCAATTTCATAATGACACAAACTGTAACAGTGAACCTGTTTCACTGGGGACCAGCTGTACAAGTGAACCTAAGTCATTGAATGTCAGCCATAAATGTGAACCAGTTCCATCTGTAACTGTGAACTAATTTCAAAAGGACCGTTCTGTATGAATACAACTATTGCCAAATGAAGGTCTGGATCTATCTTACAGGTCTATGCATTCTATTCAATCTGGTGAGGTGAGGTGAGGTGAAATTGGGTTTAACGAGGCGTCCAAGATTATTGCACTTATATAGCGACGTGCATGCATGTGTGTGTGTGTGTGTGTGTGTATCTCCTTGTACTAGTCCGGACTGATGCCGATTTATAGTGCTAGCTCACTGAGATACCATGCCGCAGTTTAACATGAGTACCCCACTCAGATACAGTATATTGACTCCGAGCCGACCAGTCCTCGTTTAAGCCCCTTAATGCTAGGTGCCAGGCAGGAAAACAACAAGTACCATCTTTAAACGTCTTTTGGTATGACACAGCCCTGGATCGAACCCTGGACCTTCCACTCTTCAGGCGGACGCTCTACCACAAGACCACGGAGGCGAACCTATTCAATCTGTCTTCAGTCTTATGTGTGAATCAATTGACAGATCAAGGTCTCAACAATCCATTTGGAGTGTATCAGTGACTTAGATACACCATCTCCAAATCCTATGGTCATTACAGTGGATCCCTTTGCAGGAAAACAGTGACCATCGACCAATGCCCTTGTGGTCATCTATCATCCCATAATGGCGGGACTTCACAAGGAGTCAGTATGTTCACATGAAATTGTCCAGCAACTCATAATGTTTTAATTACCATAAAATTCATATCAGTTAATTGTGTGCACCTAAAAGTCCCAAACCAGTTCACTGTGTTCCCCTTAAAGTCCCAAATCAGTTAACCATGTTCCCCCTAAAAGTCCTATATCAGTTCATTGCATGGCCCTTATAGTCATATATAAGATGAATGTACATTCTCCTGAAAGATCTACAACAACCCATAATATATCACAGTCTGCAATAAGCCCCTTTTAAGTCCAATAACAATTCATAATCTGATCAACTGAAATCCTCCCGTAGACGAGTTCATCTTACAAATTCCACAAAGCCAATCCCATGGGGGTTCACAAGTACGCTGTCCCACTATACAAATACCAGCGAAATGTTACCCAGACAGTAATCTACTTATATACTTGACCTGACCAGTACGTGTTGCATAGTTATCTTCTAATTCCTGGAAACCAAACTTGTCAAGATTTATCATCTACAAATCTCAAATTTCCCTGTTTTTTTTATATAAGCTGTTCATTAAGTCTTTGAATGGCATTTAGAAGTGATACACATAAGGAAGAGAATGTATGGATGTCAACTTCTTTATTATGAGGAACACATTTTGGAGTATATACTTACTCCTTCATTCACCTGATGAAGGAGTAAGAATATACCCCAACATGTTGTGCTCTCATAATAAAGAAGTTGACATCCATACATTCTCTTTCTTATGCCATTCATGGT